GGCATGTCAATCGAAGGGTGGGAGGCCAGTGTGGAGGCCAGGCAGCAAACCCGGATCCACACCATGGTGATCAACAGCAGGAGGGACGTAGCACAGGCCAGGAAGCAACCCAGGGCCCCCAACATGTCAATCAAAGGGCGGGTTGGCCTGCATCCCTCCATCAGCATGGCAATAAAAGGGCAGGAGAGATGGGGCGGAGGCCAGGCATCAAACCCGGATCCCCACCATGGCGATCAACGGTGGAATGGCCAGAGCACAGGCCAGGGAGCAAACCCCCACCCCCCGGACATAGGAGTTCGGGAGGGCCATAGCTCCAGCCAGGCATCAACCCTGGACCCCCACCATGTGATCGGAGGGCGGGAGGTTCGGGGCACAGGCCAGACAGCCACCACGGACCCCAATCATGGCAATAAAAGGGCGGGAGTGCCGGGGCACATGCAAGGCAGCAACCGCAGACCCCCACCATGGCAATCAAAGGCCAGAAGGGCCCGGGCTCAAGCAGGGCCGCAACCTTGGACCCCCATCATGGCAATTACAGGGCGCGCTGGCCGGAGTGCTGCCCAGGCATCAACACTGGACCTCCAACATGGCAATCGAAGGGAAGGATGGCCTGCGTGCCTCGATCATCATGGTGAACGGAGGGTAGCTGGGAAGTATTGCAGGCCAGGCAGCAACTGAGGATCCCCGCCATGGCAGTCGAGGGCGGCCGGGCCAGGGCGCAGGCCAGGCATCAAACCCTGACCCCCAACATGGAAAGCAAATGGCGGGAGGGCCTTCCCCCCTTAATTGCCATGTTGATCGGATGGCAGTTTTGCAGGCAATGCAGCAACAGAGGGCTCCAACATCTGAATGGAAGGTCAGGATGGCCTCCATCCATCGATCACCATGGCGAACGAAGAGCGGGAGTGCAGTGTTGCAGGCCAGGCGGCAACCTCTGACTACCAACATGGCAATAGAAGCGGAGGACGCCAGGGCGGAATACAGGCTGCAAACCAGGATCCCCACCATGACGATCAAGGGTGGGAGGGCCGGAGAACAGGCCAGGCGGCAACCGCGGACCCCAAACTTGGCAATCAAAGGGCTGGATGGCTTGCATCTTTCAATAGCCATTGCGATAGGAGGGCGGGAGTTCGGTGTTGCAGGCCAGGCAACAACTGCGGACCCCCAACATGGCAATTGATTGGCGGGATGTCCTGCATCCCTTGATTGGCATGTCAATCGAAGGGCAGAGGCCAGGCGGCAACCCTGGACCCCCAACATGGCAATCAAAGGGCGGGAGGGCCTGCCTGCTTAATCTCCATGGTGATCGGAGGGCGGTGTTGCAGGACAGGCAGCAAACACAGGCCCCAACATGGCAATCAAAGGGCCAGATAGCAGGCATCCCTTGATCGGCATGTCAATCGAATGGTGGGAGGCCGGGGGGAGGCCAGGCAGAAAACCCTAATCTCCACCATGGCGATCAAGGGCAGGAGGGCCAGAGCACAGGCCAGGCATCAATCCCGGTCCCCACCACGGCGATCAGAGGGCGGAAGGGCTGTGGCACAGGACAGGCAGCAACGCCAGACCCCGCCATGGAAATCGATGGCAGCAGGGCCAGAATGCAGGCCAGGCATCAACATCCGACCCCAACAATGGGAACCGAAAGGCAGGAAGGCCTGCCTCCCTTGATCGCCATGGCGATCGGAGGTGGGTGTTGCAGGCCATGCAGCACCGTGTACCCCCAACATAGCAATCGAAGGTCAGGATGGCCTGCATCCCTCAATAGCCATGGCGAACAGAGGGCGGGAGTGCTGTGTTGCAGACCAGGCAGCCACCATGGACCCACACCATAGCGATTATAGGTGGTTGGGCAACATTGATTGGTGGGATTCACTGCATCCCTTGATCGGCATGTCAATCAAAGGGCAGGAGGCCGGTGCGGAGGCCAGGAAGCAAACCCGCATCCCCACCATGGCAATCAAGGGCGGGAAGGCCAAAGCACAGGCCAGGAAGCAACACTGGACCCAACATATGGAAATCGAAGGGCGGAATGGCCTGCATCCCTCGTCAGCATGGCAATCGAAGGGCAGGAGAGATGGGGTGGAGTCCAGGCAGCAAACCCGGATCGCCACCATGGTGATCCAGGGGGGAATGGCCAGAGCACAGGCCAGGGAGCAACCCTGGAACCCCGCCATGGACATTGGAGTGTGGGAGGGCCAGGGTGCATGCCATGAATCAACCCCGTATCCCCACCATGGCAATCATAGGGTGGGAGGGCCGGGGCACAGGCCAGGCAGCACCCCTGGCCC